TTCTCACTTTTAAGTCTGTGGATGAAACCCTAGTGTGTGACCATTCAAATGAAAGCTATTGAGCAGTACTTTCATGTGGTACTGTTTATTACGCTGTAAAAGGTGGTTCTCACTTTCAAGTCTGTGGACGAAACGTTGGTGTGCGACCATTCAAATGGCAGCTAGTGAGCAGTGTACTTTCATGCGGGAATGTTTATCATGTTATATACAATGATTCTAACCTTCAGTCAGTGGATGACCATTCAAATGAAAACTATTCTAACACTTGAAAGTATCCATTTGGTACTCGGCTAACCTTGTAAGATTGAACTTTCCCCGTCGGATCACCATCGTCCCAGTCCACCGTGTAGGACATGCTCTCGCGGTCAAAGCTCACGATGCTCGCCGGGAAGTAAGCCCATTTTTGGTGATGGGAGATCACATGATCACCTATAACAGGTGCACGGTAACTTCTGATTTCCTCCTTGAGACCAAGCAAAGGTAAAATGGAATCCCTGAAATTGAACGAGAATCAATGAAATGCGCTGCAAACTGAACCACCAAAGCTAAGCATTTTTTCACCTGGGTCGGCTGGGTGGATGGAGAAACTTCCCCAGGAACACAGGACAGGACTTGAAGCTGGACAGTTCAATCTGGTAGGCTTATAAGGCGGGTGTGGTGGGGATGGGGGTGGAGGTGTGATCTAATACGCCTGCTACTCATGCCCCCCCGGGAGGGGACTCCCATATGAAAAGGTCGGGGATGTTCGTCGGGAAATTTGAATCCCTAGAAGAGACCAATCTAGGCGTGTCTCGAGCTTTATTTCAGCCTAAAAGATACCACTTAAAACGGAATAGGTTCGATTACCAGCCACTGTTCAGGAAAGGAGCCCGCGTTAGTAGGCCGGACTTGAGAGACCGGCGGAAATCGAGCCAAAAACGGAAATAAGAGCAAGTGCACCCCAAAAGACACTTTGACAGCTAAAAATATGGCGTTTCGTCATGAGCACCTTAAGTAAGACCAGAATCCTTCTTTTATAAGCCTAAGCGAGACGACCAGAATCCCCGATCTTTTCAGATGAGAACCTCCCCCCGGCACCCATGATATTAGGCCAATGCAGCACATACAAAACTGAGGAACCAGGAGATGGAACAAAGCTGAAGAATGTTGGTTTTGTCGAGGTTGCACGGTACAAAAAGGCTCCCACACAACCAGACACGACACTAATTCAAATTCTCCAACCATGTTTGCAAAGAAATGTATGAAGACCTGTAAGGAGAATTTGCGTAAAGATACCAACGCTCATAACTGTTATCGCACTGTTGGCGGTGTGATACTTACTGAATTTCTTGTATTTTTTGCTGTAACTCTTGCTCTGAATCGACGGCCTGTAAGTTGATTGGTTGATTCTCCTGCCCAGCCACTAACAACCCTACCACTGTACTCTGCCAGTCATTATCTGCGCCCACGATCACCGGAACCACCGGTTTCTTCAGAGACTGAAAACACGTCATGTCATATCACTTTTAAGCTACAAGATGAAAGACCTATCTAAATACTTTTTAATTCTTATTTTATTCAAAGCTTTAGACAAAATTTCTTAAGACAAGTCATATGAATTCACATATAGGTTATTAACTGGAAAATATCACCAGATATTTACCATAACCAAATGAAGTTATGTACAAATTATCGATGTTTTGTGTTTCAAGAGCTATCTATCAATTATTTGGAATATTATATCGCCTGAAACTTACCATAAACCGAATCATGTACTTACAAATTATCGATCTTTTGTGTTTTAGCAGCTATCCGTGAATGAATTATTTGGAATACCATATTGCCTGGTATAACCGAAACCATGTACTTATAAAGTATCGACATTTCGTGTTTACCTTGAGGGCGAACTGGATTTCCATTCGGCAATTCTCGCTGTTCGCATATTGCTTACTAACAAACGCCAACACCACTTTAGCTTTACCAAGTCCTTCCGCGATCTGTGCAAACTGCAATTAAGTTAAAAAAGCTCTTTAGCATGCTCTCTGCAGGACATTCAGTAGAACACAGGTCCGGGTTGTTCGAAAGGTGCAAAACTAAGCTGGGAACGTAGGTCTTAGTTTTTGAGGGTCTTAGTTTTTCGTCACACTCGGATAACACTATCCACCGGATAAATCACTATCCCGCGGATAGCATGGTTTGTTTTGTTAACACTTATCCACTGCCAGTGGATAGCAATTTATCCTGTGGATAGCGTTATTCAGCCTTCGAACAACTGAGGTCACATGTTTGTAAATGGCTTGATTGCACATAAACTTCTGATTTCTTATAAAACTTGCCATGGTGCTCAGAACAAGATATAAAATAATAAAATGTTTTCACACATCTTATAAAATTCTACTACTGTCTCTCAGTTTTAGTTCCTACGGAAAGGGTTCAGAACTTTAAAAATTTACAAGAAGTTGTAACCTAAATTAGAGCGGTTTTCATTTGAATGTCGAGAAGTAATTGGTTTTGCATCAACTACGCTACACGATTGACTTAAGAAACTCGCGCCACTTTTTCATCCAGTCAGAAGTAAAACCAGACCCAATCGTGACTTAAACGTACTCGTTTTCCCGCGCTTTGTGTCAGCTACAAGTAATGTATTAATGGACATACCATGCCTAAAGATTCATCATTCTGATTGGTTGTTTTGAGTCGTTCCGTATCAATCCATAATGAGAACCTGTTGTTCTTTGCCAGGCCAGCATGGACTTTCCTGGGATCAGCAAACTGCGATCCAATGAAGTCCTTCACCTGGTGATGTGACACAATATAGTTGGAAATAGCCGAGATACACCTAATACAGGTAAGGTTTTCTGTTCTTTTCTGTTTGTGTGATTTTATCTTCATGTACTAACCTGCAGCTCCCAATGGGGTTAACCGTTAGACGTAAAATGTGCCAGAAAATTTAGCCGTTAGGCGTAAAAAATGGAAAATTTTAACCGTTGTGTCTTGTTTTGTGGCTTGTAAGTGATATCAGTCTACAAATCCTGTAAGAATACCTCTGTCCATTCCGAAATGGTCCTAAGACCTTAATATGTTTTACAGTAATTATAATAAATTTTTAACTTTTTTAATCGATGCAAGTTGATTTTTAACTTTTTAAAACGATGGTAATTAGTTTCTAATATTTCTGTTGAGCGTAAGGAAAATAAATTAACCGTTAGCTGTTTAAAAGCCAAAATATTTTCGTTATCTGTAAAAGCCACCACCCCATTAAGACTCTTACCTGCTTGGACTTGTACGCCTTTTCTGAATTCACCCAGCAGTAACTGACAAACACGTCAGCAGGGCCCAGAGTCCTGTTTTCTGTGGTAGCTTCAGTACTTTGTAATTCTACAACAAGACAAAAAAAAAAAAAAAACACAATCAGTTCCTAATATACTTTGGCTGACAATTTATATTTTCATGCAAAGGTTCTTTTCGTGCCGGGCCCCTCACCGGATCACCTCGGTCACCGACTCATCTCTCGCAGCGTCGCGTTTGTTTTAGTCACCGATCCTACGCAGATTGGGCTCGTCACGCAATCTTGGGGAGGAAAACTGCGTGACAAGCCAAACGGACGCCTGCGTAGGAGCCCACCTTTGCTCGTGCTGCAACGCATCAGAATCTGCTCGCAGGCTATCAGTAAGTATGTTCTTATCAAACCTACCTTGTACACTTCCCATCGAATCTGGAACTCTTACTTGAGGAACACTCTTTTTGATAGCTTTCAACAGCTCCGTCATTTTACTTTCCTGCACGTCCTTGTTGCTGAAGTGAATATAAATTTCACCGGCAATAAGAAGTCCCACAACCGTCATCATCCAATCAAACGAGCTTCCCACAACAACTGGTATGACCGGTTTTTTGACAGTCTTTTTGGCGTACTGAAACTCCTGACGACAAATTTCATCCCTGAGTGGAGAGACAATCAAGTCCTTTTATAATCACTTGTATCAGTTAAGCCTGGTTCACACTAGCGACATAACGACGTAACAACATAAACATAACGACATAAGAAGGACGTTATGTCATATGTCTACAGTGTGAACATCTTGACCTAATGACATACAGCAACATAACGACATAAGGATAAAAAACTGATCTTTTCCTTAAAGCCTGGTTCACACTAGCGACATCACGACATCGACATAACAAAATAAGGAAAAGATCAGTTTTATCTTTATGTCGTTATGTTCATGCTGTTATGTTGCTAATATGCCATTATGTTTACATGTTCACACTACAAACATAACGCCCTTTTTACGTCGAGAAAACGTCCTTTTTATCTCGTTCGTGACGATGTCGTTATGTCGCTAGTGTGAACCAGGCTTATGTCTTTAGGTCGATGTTCACATTAGCGACATAAGCGATTATGTTGTGCCATGTTGTGCCATGTTGTGCTACGCTGTGCTGTGTTGTGTATGTTGTGCCATGTAGAGCTATGTTGTGCTATATTGCGCTATGTTGTGCCATGTTGCGCCATGTTGTGCCATGTTGTGCGATGTTGTGCAAGTCCTTATCTCGTAATAGGGTAGTACCTTCCTTTTGTGTGGTATTGTATGGCACACTGTATCAGCACATGATTATGTTGGTTACTTACTTGACATATTCATCGCTAAGGCAAGCCACAAACACCTTAGCTGTGTTAATCTGTTGGACTGTCTGAATCAGTGAATCTGCTCCATGTTTATCTCCATTCACCTTTGCTCCAGAGCTTTCCAACTGATGTCTAATGTCGCGAGGGTCACACATACTTGACATGATCGCTTCATCGTAACTGGGTGGAGCTTCGGATGGGGCTACCTCACGGTTCCGAATGGCCGAAGGGCTGTTGACCTGGCAATAACAGTAAAGACATTTTATTCACCTCCAATAATTTTCACAGCCATTATTTACATTGTGATCCTAATAATATGCAACTGATGTTGTACCCACTGTGGTACACATGGTTGTGGTGTTCACCCCTCTCAATAAACGATCTTCTGTCAGTAACTTTTGAGAACAGAATATGACAATGTTTATTTGTACACGTACATCACTGCTTGCAGTACAGTTATATGTCAGTTGCAAATTGTTGTGTTCTGTTTAAATGTACAGGTGCAGGGATAGACAATTTCCTCTTTTTTGGAGGGGGGAGGAGTGGGGTTGGGCAATTTTTCCATGTAAGCAGTTTTTTTGTTCACATCTAAACGCACCTTTTGAAAGAATTTAATTTCAACTCTTAAGTTATGCAAGTGTTCTTTTAAAACCAAACTCTAGTTTCCAATAGTACAAAGAAGGTTTCTGTTATGTTTCCCATTACATGTACTTCATTGTGCATGATTTCCTTTTCCCCCAATTTTGATTTGACACCACCACAAAATCCAGCAGAAGTCCACATCAGGATGCGCAAAAAAAATCAATTTTTTAAAACCATGCGTCTCGCAGTCTCAATTTTTTCACAAAGTTTTCTTGCAGTCTCAATTTTTTGCAAGGCTAAGAACGTCTTGAAGTCCTGATTTGTTTGTTTCTTTTTGTAAATGACATGGACTTCCTAAAATCGAACATTCATGCTCGCAAATTAGACACTTTGAGGTCTTGGTCTCACAATTGCAAAAGTCAAAATGTTTCGGGCTTGCAAAGAAAAATGCTAGTCTCGCGCTCTGGCAAAGTCTCACATTTACCATTCACTTACCCCTCCTTTGGGCAAGCTGTAACTACGATGTACTAGCCCGGAAGTCATTCTCCCTAGCCCCCAAAAACTTCATCTCTAAATTACCATACTTTTGTAACTTGAATTACCAGTTGGGCAAGTAAAAGACAAATTAATCCACCAGCCAAAGACTACAAAGCCTGCCAGTCCTGGGCTATCGCACAACAATTTCTTTGCAAATGGATCCACATTTGTTCACAGGTTACTTCTGTACAACAGCTGTTGTTGGAGTAGAATTTTCATGTTTAATAATAATCGTAAGATGCACTTATTTGACTTGTTAATCGTAAAAGGTGATACATGTACTTTGCAATTAGTCAGGATTTTTTGGAAAAAAGGAGTTTTTGGAGGTAATTAACCTCCCTAAGAGCCCTCTTCAAAAACACAATGGTCTCTCCTACAACACGGTTCCAATTTCTGTTCCCTACACCCAAACATTCAATCTACAAACCTTTGAGTATGAGATGAATATATCGCATGGACTTATCCCACCATCTACAAAGCTACTTTGCTGACTGGCTGGCTCAGGATCCTGAGCAGACAGAATGTCCAGCACATTGGGAGAGATGCGCAACTGAGAAATCTCCATTTCACGAAAGTATAAATTGTAGCCTGAATATGTCACCCATTTGCTGTCGCTCTCTCCCTTAGTGTGTATGCCATCATAAAGTTTCTGGCCTCTGCTGCCATCGTAGACATGAGTTATTCGTCCCTAAATTAAAATAAGAGACATTTTTAACATTCTGTAAAGTAAAATCAAGTTTTAATAACCAAAAACTTTTTTCAAACTTCTAAAAACACCTATACAACATGTTCAATGTACATTCAACAACACACCAAAGCTAATTAACAGTACATGTACCACAGTTTCAATTTCTGTATTAACAGACATTCAATAACAGTTTGATTCTGTTAAAATTACCACCAGAAGGTAGAAGGGTGGGAGAGAGACCAAAAACCACTTGAAGAAAGACATTAGAAACAATACAAGAGTTTTAATGTAACCAAGACAGTGGCACAAAACAGAATGTGTTTGTTTTAGAAAGTGACAGCCGTGTGTCTAATGGAATGAAGAGAGCAGATGATGATGATGATGATGATGATGTTAAAAACATCTCTCAGCTACATTTTTGCATCATTTCATCAACCAGAAAATTGTACATTTGCCTTCATTTTGATTCGTGCCGCAAGCCAAAGGCAATATCCCTATAGTAGCTGAAAACTTTTAAACACACAAGGTCAATTCTGCAGGGGAGGTGGGAGGCTCCCATAAAAGAATGGACAGGGTGCTCGTCATAGCTTTAAAGGGTTAAAAAAAAAGAAAGCAGTTTTGGTACCTCTTTGGGTGTTCAGCCTCAAAAGGTCCACAGCGGGTTCAGTTTTTGTGGTACCTTTTAGGGTATTGAACCGAAAAAAAAAATGGAGATAATGTGTTGTTTTAGAATTGTTACCTCTAAGGGGCAACAAAAAGTTAAGCCACGCCCACAAAAGAGGATCTATATGGTACCTCTTAGGGGTTCTTTTCAAAATTTCTGATGAGCACCCCATCCTTTTCATATGGGAGTCCCTGGTCCCCTGTGGGTCAATTCATTTAAAGTTGACTTCCTGAAAATGCTGGGCAACACACCTGATGATATCGCAGACCACCCAGCCGTACGCCTTCTTGTCCCCTGTACTTCCCCTGAGGGAACAGCACAATGGAACCAATGGCAATCTCGTCTGGCTCTGGCACTCGATCCAGTGCCAAATTAAAGTAATCAACTACACGCCCAGTTGGATCTTGGTCATCCCAGTTGATGGTGTACTTCAGTGCGTTGGAGTTAAACGAGACTATGGTGGCCGTGAAATACTGCCATGGAGTTGACTCCCACATGGCTAGAACCTACAAATTAAATTACACGGAATTGTAGTTACACAATGTAGACCAGTGCCAACCAGGAATACAAGTTGTTTTCAAGTTGCATCCCCCACTCCTCTTGTGAGTTTGCTGCACAACTTACAGTTGTACCTTCAGGTATCTTTGCTGTCTACTATATAATACATGTACAGGTATGCATATGAATGACAGTACATTTTCCACATTTTTATGGCTCACCAATAGTTAAATGCAAAATCAGAGGAAATATGAAGCTCTTGGTTGTTTTACAGTTGTAAATAAACCTAGTTATGTCAAGACATCCTTGGGAAATTGTTTGGTTGTAACAGTTTGACTGCATTCACACCTCCTTGCCACATCCTGCCCCCACAGGATCTTTTGTCACACCCTGCCCCCATGGCACCTTTTGTTACACCCCATCTCCATGGCAATGTCAAGTCAGGTCAATGATTGTAATAATAAGGTGCTGTATTGATCAGGTTTGTCTATACTGTGTTACATTTGTCTAACTCACCGGATCTCCAACTTTGGGTAAATTGCGGGCTTTCTGCGGTGAAGCTTGTGTTGGAGCTGGACTGAAAGCCTGCAATAAAAAGAATTAGCATATCAACCTCTTTTCATACAGTGTACATGTATACTGATACACCCCAAACTTGGAACAAAGTCCTCTATATGTCTGTACCAAACTGCTGATTCATTGAATAAAGAATTGCCAAGAATGGAATGAACTCCATTTTTCACATATGTTTTCCTATTAGCTATGTTATTCCAGTATTGTAATTTTCTATAACTTTTTTAGTCTTTTGTCACTTGTAAACACCCTGAAACTAATGATGGATTCAGAGTATCTGAAACATGACTTCTAAATTCAAGAGTGTGTTTATTTTCTTTAAATGTGCAAATATCTTGTTCATACTCCTAAGAAATTTAAGTAACCATAATACCTGCACTTGAGGTGTGTTCTGTAATGACAAATTCAACTGTTCATTATGCTCCCTCAGTTCACTGATTTCTCTGTCTTTGTCACTCTGCTCCAGCTTCAATCTCTCAA